TCACCATCAGCATTATCAAAGCAGGCACACCCAATTTGTTTATCGGCATCCGCATCAGCGGCATCATCGCCATCACCATCACCATCGTACGCCTCCTGATCGTTCCTCACCCCTCAGGGTGCCCAGTCGTCAGAGTGAGCGGAATACGATGTATCCCCGTACGCGAAGATGTGGCAAGGCGTCTGTTCTGGAACCGAACGAAGTCGAAATCGAGACAGCAACCCGTTGCGGGTGCCGTTTGGTTGTTAGAGTTGTCCAGTTGAATTGCCGCGCGAATCCGCCACCGCGCGCGGGCGGGCACATGTGGGAGGGGGTTTGTAAGGGCGAGGGGGCGTCATGGAGGTGGTTGACGGTCCCGCCCGAACCTTTGATTTTGGCACAACTATCTGCTTGGAGGGCAAGACGACGCAGGCGCTTGTTGCAAAACTGAATGCGCGGTGGGCTCAATACGTCGGGGGGGAATCGAATTATTGCTTCACAAGAAGCGAAACGAAAAGCAGGCAATCGCATTGGGCACGATGCGAAGTTGTACATGCCGAGGCCCGTGGAGAAAGAGCGCACGACATAGAGGTGATCTTGTTAAGAGGCCGCGTCACTTGGGACAGAGCCCCCCTTCCACCTCCGCCACCACCTCCTCGCCCTCGCCCTCCTCTACCTCCGGCTCGCTTGTCGCCTCCCTCCTCCTCCTCCTCCTCCTCCTCCTCCTCCTCCACCCGCTCCTCCTCCTCCTCCTCCTCCTCCTCCTCCTCCTCCTCCTCCTCCTGGTCCCTCTACCTTACACAAATCAGCGGAACTGGCCCACGACGAACGAACGCACTCTGGGACTGACACGCACACACAAATGCACACACACACGCACACACACACACACACACACACACACACACGCGCACACACACACACACTCTTTTCCCTCCAGCGTCGACGTGACGGCACCGTCGCGAAGCGCTACGGCGGCACGCTCAGACGAATTTCAACTTGGCGTAGCAGGCGGGCAGACTGGATGGCAACAGTCGCATGCAGGACAATCGCGAGAGCGCGCATGCACGCGGAAGAGGCCACAGCGGTCGTGCAAAATGCCAGGACGACGCGCACAAACACACACAGACACACACACACACACACACACACACACACACACACACACACACACACGCACACACACACACACGAACACACACACACACACACACACACACACACACTCACACACACACACACACACACGAACACGCACGCACGCACGCACGCACGCGCACGCACGCACGCACATCCACACACACACACACACGCACACACATACACATACACACACGCACGCTTGCGCCGGCGGCTAGGCAGAGTCACTGCGCTGGCGAGGACACGCACACATGCACACGCACACGCACACACAGCACGATGGCGGCCCCATCTGCGCAGCACGGGCGCGGCGGAGCCCCGGGCCCCTGCCGACCCTCCGGGCCCGAGGGCCTCGCCCCTCGCCGCGGCCCGACGTTCCCCCCCCCCCCAGGCCGCACAGGGGCCTCTCGGCGCCGCGGGCCTCGGGCGCTGCGCCGTGGATCGAGGGAGGAAAAACCACCCGGACCGGACCACTGGCGTTTTTTTTTAGACGGCCCTCTGGGCGTTTCCCAAACAGCCCCGCCCTGGTCGCATCCTCCTCTGGGCGCGTTCACGCAAGGCCTCGCGTGCCGGGGTGGTGATTACCAGGGTGGATTTCTCTGCCCTCTCATGGAGGGGGCGGCACCGCGGGAGCCCATGCCGAGAAGCACCCTGCTGGCCTCCAGGGTGCCCCGGCCTTGCTCTGGGGAGCGTGGCGCTCCCACCGCCTCAATGAAGGGCATAAAAAACGCCCCTACCCTGGCTTACGAGGCGCTGTGCGCTGAAACTCCTGTGGGCTGACAGGGTAAACCCTACGTGATGTGCCGCGTCCTGGCGGCTCTCGGCTTTGGGGGTTCCCAGGAGGTTTACAGACCACGCATTGGTAACCCAGGGTAGGGTCGTTTTTTCATCCCTCAACTCAAGAATCAACGGACGTCCTGGGGTCTCAGGGTTGGGCTTCTTGTGGAAGGGTTTCTTGTGGCCGAGCTCCTGCTGCAAACGATGCGGGGGGGGGGTGGGGAACAGGTGGGTGCATCGTTCGTGCACTTTTGGGGGTCCTGGAGAAGCCTTCTGGGGCCAGGGGGCACGACAGGTACACGCTTCCCCCCACACACCCTTTCATCGCCCCCCCATGACGCAAGGCCCAGGGGCCCTCATGGCCGCCGCGGCCCCCATGGCCGGACAGAGGGAGAGCCAGAAGAAGCCGGATGCCACGGCATCCGTTCGCCCCGAGCCGGGGACAAAACGCGGGCGACGTGGGGTGGTTTCGATTTCTCCTCGTCGCCCCACCGAACGTGTCGGTAGTTAGGTCGGACTGGGCGTTCCGTCTGAGGTTGCCTCAAAGTTTGTGCTCTTGAGAGGTAAAATTCAAGCAGCTACCTACCTGGATGGAGCCTGGGTTGCCTTCAGAACTGCGTTCGCGCATGATGCGTTGAAGAGCCAATTATCCACAAACGTCTTGGATGTAGGGCGGCACCATTTCAAAACCGAGCTGCTGTGGAAGATGTCCCCACCACTAAGTATGATCTCGGCGAGTCAAGATCCCAACGAATACTTCGGCATCCAGCTACCAAATGCGTATTCTCGGGATTTCTGCGCATGGTCGGAAAGCTGTACAGTGGAGCAGCTGCATGACTGGAGGGTGTCGGGGGGCTCTCAACATCTCGCTCTCCCGTCTGCGCTGAGTGCACTGAGTTTCAAAAAATCCATATGTCACCGGCGTCAACGATGGACCCCCCCCCTCGCAACGCACGAGCTTTTGGGGCCTCGCCGCTCCGATCCTGCCAGGGCCGCTTCCGTGGCAGGGCTTCTTCATCCAGCCACCCGTCCGTCCGCCTCCAGGGACCTCAGCGACAGGCAGCGTAACCCGCAGCGGTTCTGGCTCGAGCCTCCACCGTGCCCGTGCGCAGCCGGCCACCCCCCGTGCTCGGGCCCTCCAGGTCACAGGCGTGCCGCGCGCATATCGCGCGCGCGCGCACTGGGGGGCAGCGATGCTGGCCGGGTGCCGTGCTGCTGGGGCCGCCAGACGGGTGGCCGGGCCGCTGCGGAGGCAATTGCCGCCTCTGCGGCGCCTCAGCAATCTCCGCAGCACTGGCCAGGACGGGATGCGCGAGGGGCCCTCCTACCTGGACATGCAGGCCACCACCCCGGTGGACCCCCGGGTGCTGGACGCGATGCTGCCGTATTTTCACGGCCAGTTCGGTAACCCGCACAGCAAGAGCCACGCCTACGGGTGGGACGCGGAGGACGCTACGGAGAAGGCACGAAAGCAGATAGCCGATTTGATCGGGGCCGACCCGAAGGAGGTCTTCTTCACCTCTGGCGCCACGGAATCCAACAACATGGCAGTCAAGGGCGTAGCCGACTTCTACGGCAGCAAGAAGCGGCACATCATCACCACGCAGACCGAGCACAAGTGCGTCCTGGCCTCCTGCAGGCGCCTCGAGGTGGAAGACAAGTGGGACGTCACGTACCTGCCAGTGGGCACCGATGGACTCATCGACCTCGCAGAGCTTGAGGGGGCGATCCGCGAGGACACGGCACTGGTCTCTGTGATGCATGTGAACAACGAGATCGGCGTGGTGCAACCCGTGGAGGAGATCGGCGCGATCTGCAAGAAGAAGAACGTCTTCTTCCACACGGATGCGGCCCAGAGCGTCGGCAAGATACCAGTCGACGTGAGGTCAACGAGCACAAAAGAACCCCTAACCCTAACAACACGATGAAAACGTGGCCTCACTGAGGTCCCCGTCTTCGCATTCGAGATGATAGTTCTCGGTGGTCTAGTCTGATGCATCTGCAGAGGAGACCCCTATCCCTAATGTGTGTCTGGCCTTCCAACTCAGGTCCCCTCCCAAAGGGTCGGGGGCCCTCTTTGGCCCGTCACGAGGAGCATGAACTGCAGCCTCATGTCGATCTCCGCCCACAAGATGTACGGCCCGAAGGGCGTGGGCGCCCTCTACGTGCGCCGGAAGCCCCGCGTACGCCTGCGCGCGGTGATCGACGGCGGCGGCCAGGAGCGCGGCATGCGCAGCGGCACGCTGGCGACGCCGATCATCGTGGGCTTCGGCAAGGCCGCCGAGGTGTGCGCGCAGGAGCTTTGGGTCGGGCGTGTCCCTCCTACAGGAAGCACCTTCAGAAACAGTCAAGAGATAGTCTGGGAACTGTTTTTTGAGTAGGTTTGGCCATGTTTGGTGTTTGTTTTGGCTATTTATGGTTTTGTCCTCCCAAATCCCCCTGTATCGCGTTCGCTTCCAGGCAAAACCAAGTCATACTACGCGCCTCCTCGTCAAGCGGCCTGACCCGTACAGGCCGTAGTTTGGCATCGTTTGGTATCTCTTGGAAGCGAGGGTGGTCAAAAGCGAGGTAGGTTTGCTTTCCCCCCCTGTATGGGGGACAGGCCCGACCCAACAGGAGATGGAGAACGACGCCCGGCACGTGGAGCGGCTCTCCAGGATCGGCGGCGGGCGCTCGGCAGGGAGGGGAGGCGGAGAATTAGGGCCTGCCCGGGAGGCTCGGAGGTCCCCCCGGCCGGAGGAGGAGGAGGAGGAAGAGGAGGAGGAGGAGGAGGAGGAGGAGGAGGAGGAGCGAGGCAGGGAGGGAGGGAGGAAGGGAGGGACGAGAGAGGGAGGGAGGGAGGGACTCCTTCCTCGTCGTGGCCGCCCCCCTCCCTTCCCCTCCTCCCGGGAGAAGTTTCCGAAGCCTCCCCCGAAGACGCAGAAGACGCTTCGGGAGGCCAGGGGGCATCCGAGACGTCCCGCCGCCCTCCGAGAGGTCCTTCTCCCGCGAGAAGACAGCTGAAGTCGAGAACTCTGCGCGCCTCCACGCAGCTTATTATTATTATTATTATTATTATTATTATTCGTATTACTATTATTATTAGTAGTATTATTATTCTGATTAGTATTATTATTAGTATTGTTATTATTAGTATTATTATTATTAGTAGTAGTATTATTATTACTATTACTATTATCATTATTTTGTTATTACCATTAGTACTATTAATTTTACTATTATTATTATTCGTATTATTATTATTACTCCCCCCCCACGTTGTCGCCGCCGGCAGGAAGATGCGCGAGAGCATCATGGAGAAGCTGCCCATGATCGAGCTGAACGGCCACCCCACCAAGCGGTACTGCGGCAACGTCAACCTCTCCTTCGCCTGCGTGGAGGGCGAGAGCCTCCTGATGTCCCTGGCCAGGAGCACCGCGGTCTCGAGCGGCAGCGCCTGCACGAGCGCCTCGCTGGAGCCGTCCTACGTCCTGCGCGCCATCGGCGTCGGCGAGGAGCTGGCGCACACGTCCCTGCGCTTCGGCATCGGCCGCTTCACGACCGAGGCGGAGGTGGACCGCACCGTGGCGCACGTGGCCGCGGAGGTGAGCCGCCTCCGCGACATGAGCCCGCTCTGGGAGCTCGAGCAGGAGGCGATGCTGAGCGGAGGGCACAAGAAGCTGGTGACCTGGTCCTGACCCCGCTGGGCCCCTCCAGGCCGCCCCATGGCCAGACACGTGGGCCCCCCACGCTCCCGGCGGAGGGGCGAGCTCGCGCGCGCGAGCGGCACGCGCAGGGAGCCCCTGTGCGCGTAGCCGCGCCCCTGGGCTTGCCACCGCTCGGAGGTGTGCCCCTTTTTCTCGGCGGGGATCATTGGAGAGTATCTTGGATCATCCTTCGAAGAGAAAAAAAAAAGGCACGATACCCAAAAAGGCACGGAGAACCCAAGAGGCACGGGGAACCCAGAGGTGCCCTGGAAGTCTCGACCCCTTCCCGAGAGCCGGTTTGTCCATCCCGAGCCGCCTTTTGACGGTAGCAGGGCCCGGCGAGGGCCCCCAGAGGCCGAATCCGATGAAAAACCGCCGTCTTGATTTTTTTCAATGCGTTGGATCTTTGGGAGGTGACGTCCGAGCGATGGCGAGTTGGGGGTTCCTTCGCTCGTGCTACACGTCCTTGCCCCTCGGCCTCCTAGTTCAGGTCGGAGCAGCTGGGCTCCGAGGGTCGCTCCGCAGCGCGAATGCATCGCCGATGCGGCTCGATGTGGAGCCCGATCTGCTCCACGCCGACGTCGCCGATGCATCGACGTTGAGGCGCGTTCCTCTGACCCCATCTACTCGGACCCCGTCAAGGAGGCCTCTCCTGCAGACCAGCACGTGGCGGCGCCGACGTGGCCCGCCGGGCCACGCTGCCCCAGGGCCTCCGGCGGCCACGAGCCCCGTGCTCGCGCCGCCAGCCCCGCCGATTCCTGATCCTGCTCCTCCTCCTCCTCCTCCTCCTCCTCCTCCTCCTCCTCCTCCTCCTCCTCCTCCTCCTCCTCCTCCTCCTCCTCCTCCTCCTCACCTCCTCCTCCTCCTCGCCCCCTCCTCGCCCTCTCCTCCTCCTCCTCCTCCTCCTCCTCCTCCTCCTCCTCCTCCTCCTCCTCTCCCCTCTCTTCTCCTCCTCCTCCTCGACCCATCCCCCCTCCTCCTCGCCCCCCTCCTCCTCGCCCTCCCCACCTCCCTCCTCCTCCTCCTCCTCCTCCTCCTCCTCCTCCTCCTCCTCCGCCCCCTCATCCTCGCCTCCTCCTCCTCCCTCCTCCTCCTCTTCCCCTCTTCTCCTCCTCCTCCTCCTCGACCTCATCCCTCTCCTCCTCGCCTCCTCCCCCCCCTCCCTCTCCTCATCTTCTCGCTCCGCTCGCCCTCCGCCCTCCTCGCCCCCCCTCCTCGCCCTCCGCAGTCCTCCCCTCCTCTTTCTCTCTCCTCCTCCTCCTCCTCCTCCTCCTCCTCTCTCATCATCATCCTCATCCTCATCCTCATCCTCCTCTCCTCCTCCTCCTCCCTCCTCCGCCCCGGCTCACCCCCTCCTCCTCCTCCTCCGCCTCCTCCTCCTCCTCCACCCTCTCCTCCTGCTCTTCCTCCTCCTCCTTTTCATCCTCCTCCTCCCCTCCTCCTCCTCCTCCTCCTCCTCCTCCCCCTCCTCCCACCTCCTCCTCATCATCATCATCATCCTCCTCATCCCCTCCTCCTCCTCCTACTCCTCCTCCTCCTCCTTCTCGTCCTCCTCCTCCATCCTCCTCCTCCCTCTCTCCTCCTCCTCCTCCTTTTCCTCCTCCTCCTCCTTTTCCTCCTCCTCCTCATCCTCATCCTCATCCTCATCCTTCTCCTCCTCATCCTCCTCCTCCTCCTCCTTCTCGTCCTCCTCCTCCTCCTCTTCCGCCTCCTCGTCCTCATCCTCCTCATCCTACTCCTCATCCCCCTCCTCTCCTGCTATCCCGGATGCGGTGTTGAGGAAGGAGCCCCCGGGTCCATCAACGGCATCCAGGCGCGAAGCGAAGATTCGAATTGCCAAAACATAATTCGCCTTACCGAGGTCCGCGTGGGTTTCTTAGATCGGCGTGGGGGCATCCAACGCCAGTCCAAGAAATCCGCGCAAATGTATGGATGTGTATGTTTGTGGTGTCTTATATTATGATTCTTATTACTATTATTATTATTATTATTATGATTATTATTATTGTTATTATTAGTAGTAATATTATTATTATTATTAGTAGTATTATTATTATTAGTAGTAGTAGTATTAGTATTCGTCTTATTAGTATTATTATTATTATTATTCTTCTTCCACACACGGCGAACGCCAAGTCAGGCGAGATCCGTCCGAGTCACCAGAGGTCTGGGGCCCGGGGTGTTCCTCCTCGCCCTCCTCCTCCTCCGCAGTGCCTCGCGGGCGGTTTGTCTCGGTCAGTGGGTATCGTGTGCCGGCACCTTGCGTCAGATCACTCGTTGCTCGGCCTGGCGCAACCGTCACATTGCCGTAGGAGAAAATATTGCAGCCCTACCTCGCCGCTTTACATCCGCCCTCCACCCTCCGACCTCATCCCTCTGTCCCTCCTCCGCCCTTCACCCCCGTTTCGCTTCCCAGATCTCATTTTCCGGCTCTTCCTCCCTTCTCCGTCCTCATTCCCTCATCATCCTGTTTCTGTTTCGTGACATACTCATCCTGTTCGGCCAGCGGGCATCGAGTGTCCGCCTACCAGAAGGGAGGAGGCTGGTTTGGTATTAGCAGAGTTGTGAGGAGATCAACAGGAATTAGTGAGGACATTTAGGAGGGGGGAAGAGACGAGCGAGGAGGAGAAACAGAAGGAGGAAGAGAGGAGGAGGAGGAGGAGGAGGAGGAGGAGGAGGAGGATGCGGACAAGAGTCTGCAGCAGAAAAAGAGGAGCAATACCACCAGGAGGGCGAGGAGAAGGAGGAGGAGGAGGAGGGCGACGACAACGACGAAGACGAGGACGAGACGAGGGAGCAGGCAAGATGAGGAGCAGCAGCCGTAACAGCACGAGTATGTGCAGGAGCGCGGCAGATGGGGGCAGGGAGAGGAGGAGGGACGAGGAGGGGGAGAAACGGGAAGGAGTGGTGAAGAGGAGGAGAGGAAGGATGGGAGGATAATCAAAAAAGAGTGAGGATGAGCAGCACCAGCAGGAGAAGCCGAGGAGTATGACGAGGTGTTGGCGTGGGAGGCTTAGGGAAGCAGTTCGCGGCAGCGATGCTTCTTCTCCTCTTCATCCCTTCTCCCCCTCCTCCCTCCTCCTTCTCGTCTCATCCCTCCCTGCCTTCATGGTTCCTTCCTCATCCCTCCTGCTCCTCCTACCTCCCTCTTCTCCTCTGTCTGCCTCTTCCTCTTGCTCCCTCCTAATCATCCTCCGCCCCCTCCCCTGTCACCCTTGCCACCCCAAGGTGGCGATTCGTCCTGCTGTCGAGCGGGACGCACCTGTCGCCTCTGAGGTGGTTCGGGATATGGTCCACCGTGGAGCAAGACCCCACAGTCATCCCTGGAATTGCGTATCCAGCCTGCTTCGCGGCGTTCACCCCTTGTAACCTCCAGGCTGGCGCTCCGTCTTGCTGCCGAGCAGCCCCCCCTTCTTGTCCCTGCCCCTGAGGTATCGACCCGCCTCACTGCAGGGGCGGCTGTACGGCACGGCTGATCCACCATTGCAGTGGTCGCCGGGTTTCAACCATGCCTCCAGGGGTGGATTGTGATGGGCCTGTTTTCGACCACCACGACCATAAGTTGGAGGGGGAGGGGGTCCTCCTCCTCATCGTCCTCCTCCTCCTCCTCTTCGTCCTCCTCGTTCCCCCCTCCAACTTATGGTGGTGGTGGTGGTGATAGAAAACAGGACCATCAGAGTACCAATCTCCCAGAGCATGTACTCAAGAATGCGTGAGCTCGGGTCCCTACCCGAACACAGGTTCACGCCTATGCCGAAATCCCAAGGGGAACGCGCTGGCCAGGATGGCGAGGCGGATCCAGCCGTAGCAACAGGGAGCGGCCCAGTGGGCCACAGAGGGGAGATCCGCGCGAACCCACGACCGTGGAAATCGCACCTCCTCCTCCTCCTCCTCCTCCTCCTCCTCCTCCTCCTCCTCCTCCTCCTCCTCCTCCTCCTCCTCCTCCTCCTCCTCCTCCTCCTCCTCCTCCTCCTCCTCCTCCTCCTCCTCCTCCTCCTCCTCCTCCTCCTCCTCCTCCTCCTCCTCCTCCTCCTCCTCCTCCTCCTCCTCCTCCTCCTCCTCCTCCTCCTCCTCCTCCTCCTCCTCCTCCTCCCCCTGGGAAGGGGGCTCTGCCCGGGATGCCAGCGGCTCCACCCAGGAGATTGCTGAGGGGCCGGGGCCGCTTGGCGGAGGAGCTGCAGAGGAACCACGAGGCGCCCTCCGGAGGGGAGGAGAGCCCTTTGCATCGGGGCTCAAGAGACGGGAGTGATTGACCCCCGAATCAGAGATTTGGCCGCGTGCCAGCACAAGGAAACGCCAAGTTCAAACGCCGATGAGCATTGCGGCAGCGCGCCGTTCGCATTGAAATGCGCGGCGTTGTCGTTCGCTGACCGTCGAGCAGTTTCCGCTTGCAGTTGGCGCGTCGCTTGACGGTCCCAATGGTCTAAAGTTCCTCATGTGGGGGGCGGGGGGCGTTTTTCATACGTTCAGTCAGTGCAAACAGGGGCCAGTCAGAGTCAGAGCGCAGGATTTTGCAGGCTCCTGCAGAGCCAGGGGTGCATTGACCCTGGCTTGGGCGCAGGATCCTGAAGCAGCTTGCAGGATCCTGCTGAGCCCGGCTGGCCCGGGTCTGGATGGACCCGGGCCTGTCGATGCCCGAGTGCAGTTTGCCCCGTGTGGCACTTCGGACTCGTTCTGGCCATCCGCACGGGGCGTTTTTCCAGGTCTACAGTCGAGCATTTGATTAAGAATTCTCCTCCCGAACATCTGGGCCAGAGTTTCTAAACCAACTTTATGGATGTCTGGCCCAGTTTCTCGAGCACGTTCGCCCATAAAGCGTTAACAACAGACACTGGCCGAGGTCTCTTGAAAGACATGTGTGGGAAGTTGGCCCATATTTATTCTTTCTGATAGTGTTGCTGATCGTATGCTCGGCTGCAGTGCACGATGACTCTCTGAACCCCGCCCAACGGCCTGTGGCTGATAGATTTGGCGAGAAAAGGCTCCCGACCGAGGCGGAGGATGAGGAGGATGCGGAGGGGGAGGAGGAAGAGGAGGGGGAGGAGGAGGGGGAGGAGGGGGCGGAGGAGGAGGAGGAGGAGGAGGAGGAGGAGGAGGAGGAGGAGGAGGAGGAGGAGGAGGAGGAGGAGGAGGGGAGGAGAGGAGGAGGGGAAGGAGGAGGAGGAGGGGCGGGTTGAGGAGGAGGATGAGGAGGAGGAGGAGGAGGACGACGACGAGGACGAGGAATACGAAGACGGGGAGAAGGACATTGGGGGGAGGATCGGAAAGTTCGTGACGCAGCTTAAGCTGTTGCGGAACAATTCCCCCCACCTCTGCACGCCGCGGCCGCCGGGCCCCGAATGCTCCCGGCGCTCACCCTGGGCACGCCGCCTCGCCTCTTCGGCAGACGGCGGCTGCACACCGCGGCCGCCGGGCCCCGAGGGCTCCGGTGCTCCCTGGCCTAGGGCGCGCGGCGCCCGATCTTCGACCTTCGATCGATTCCTCTCCCTCGATCTTGGAGCGATCGGATCGACCGATATGCGATCTCTGGTTCGATCGATCGGTCGATATTCAGGCGGAGCCGCGGCCACGAGCCCAAGCCCCCAGCCTCGATCTCCGACCTTCGATCGAGCAGAACGGGAGGAGCCCGGACAGCCGACGATCTACTCTCTTGAAAGCGTCATCGTGTTCGTATCCCTTGTCTTGCCGACAGGCGCGGGCCCTCGACCCCCCCCCTCCTCCTCCTCCTCCTCCTCCTCCTCCTCCTCCTCCTCCTCCTCCTCCTCCTCCTCCTCCTCCTCCTCCTCCTCCTCCTCCGCCTCCTCCTCCTCCCCTCCTCCTCCTCCTCTCCTCCTCCTCCCTCCCCCCGCCTCCTTTCCTCCTCCTCCTCCTCCTCCTCCTCTCCTCCTCCTCCTCCGCCTCCTCCTGACCCACCTCCGCCTCCGTTGCCTCCTCCGCTTCCCCGTCTCCTGCGCCTCCCCCTCCGCCCCCCCCTCCGCCTCTCCTGACCCTCCTCCGCCTCCGTTGCCTCCTCCGCCTCTCCGTCTCCTCCGCCTCCGCCTCCGCCTCCGCCTCCGCCGCCTCCCCCTCCTCCTCCTCCTCCGCCTCTCCTCCTCCTCCTCCTCCTCCTCCTCCTCCTCCTCCTCCTCTTCCGCCTCCTCCTCCTCATGGAGTAGAACTTGGCTGTTTTTGGTGTCTGCTTCGAGCAGGTGGCGTCTCTCCCCCTATAGGACGCACGCTTCCAAACAGTCGCACGAAGCAGAGGTCTGAAGCCAGACCCCCCCCTCCCCCCCCCTTCCGCCCAATGCCGAAACGCCGAATAAGAAAACGCTCACCGGTGCGCGGCCCCAGAGGTCCCGCCTGACCCCCCCCCCCGCCTGGGTGGGCAGTTCGCTCCAGGTGCGTTCGTCGTGGCCCCCCGCGGGTGCAGACAGCGGACCCCACAAGCCGAAATCGAGGAACGCCCGAAGCAACACAAATCGGCTCGGCGCAGATTTGCGGGTGTCGGGCCCCGACTCGGGCCTCTGGCGGCCGCTCCGAGGGGCTCTGGCACCCTCGGAGCGCTCTCGGCGAGGCGCCTCTGCTGGCAGGCAGCCCGAGGCGAGGGAACCTCCAGGAACCGACGCGCGCACCCTTTTGGAAACCTGCGAGGTATCCATGGGCCCCTCGGGAGCACCGCCCTCGACGAAGCCACACCGTCGAAGGGCCTGGGAGGGGAGGCGGCCCCCCGGCCCCTCCCACCCGGGAGGGCCCCCGGGGGGCCTGGCACGGACGGAGCGGGTCCTGGTTGTGGGAAACGGGTCACGGCCCCCAGAGCCGTCGCTCTCCCCCAGGACCAGCGTTACGTCGAAGAGCCTTTCCCTCTAGAGGAGGAAGAGTCGAGAATAGTCAAACAAATAGTCTGGGGGCGATGCTTTGACTATTCTTGAGCATGTTGGGGCACCTGTTGAGTATGTTTCATTTTTCGCTCAAAATCCACCCTGAGCATTTTGGGGCATCTGTTGAGTATTTTTCATTTTTCGTTCAAAATCCACCTGTAGGGGGGCATGCCGACCTAAGACCAGCTCCTCATCCTCAACCTTTTTCGGGGCGTCCCCGGGGCCCGTGGAGGGCCCCATGGGGCCCGAAAGCGGCACAAAAAGCTCAGGGCCCGCCTCCCCCAGGGCTCCTGCTCTTGCATGTCGGGGAGGCGCAGGACTCGCGCACGCCGGATTGCGGGGTCTGCCGGCGCCTTCTTGTTGGCGAGCGCGGCCTGGATTTTGACGGTCCAGTTGTCGTGGGATGGTTGCCGCGGGAGCCCGCGTCAAATGTCAGACTGGGTCGCGTCATTCCGCCACGCGCAGAGGGGGGTAGGGGGAGAGGGGGAGGGCTTCTCAGACGCACCCCTGCTTCTCAGACGGCGCGGGCCTTGCCTATAGATGCAGGGCCGGCGCCCTCTGAGAAGCGGCCTCCTTCTAAGAAGCCTCCCCCCTTCCTCTCCCTACCCGCTCGTGCGCGCCGCCAAGTCATTTTCATGATGGCACCGTTGGGCCCCTTGACCCGAGTCCTCTACGTCTCCCCGAGCATGGCGAGCCGTTCCTGCCCCCCCGGACGGCCTCCAGGGGACTCTCCGCGCCCGGGGGGGACCGCTCAGGTCATGATGAGGGTGTCGCTGCTGCTGCTGGGGTCGAGGCCGACCGCTCACAGTGCGGGGGAGCTGGGTATCGAGGCCTCCTTGATGGGGTCGGAGTAGATGGGGTCGGAGGATCGCGCCGCATCGCCGATGCATCTCCGATGCGTCGGCGAGGCGGCTCGATGTGGGGCCCAATCTTCTCCACGCCGACGTGGCCCATGCATCGATGACGTCGCCAGTGCCTCGCCGATGCATCGCCGATGCATCGGCGATGCATCGGCGATGCATCGGCGATGCGGCGAGCTCCTCCGACCCCATCTACTCGGACTGGAACCCATCTACCCAGACCCCCGACGTCATGATTTTTGTCATTACGCCGACCCCTGGAGGTCTCGACCCATTCCCATGGACCGGCTTTTCATTCCGACTCGTTTTTTGACGGTCTCGAGGGCCGGTAAGGGCCCCTAGAGGTTGAAAATATCTAAAATTTCACGTCATGATGTTTTCATTACCCGAGGGGGTCTGGGTAGGAGGCCTCTAGCGCCCCTGACCCCCCCCCTGGGGGGACCCGACGCTGTGCGAGAGCGCACGCTGGGAAGAGAAGCTGCAGCGCCAGGATGATCCAGGGGCGCCCTCGAGGGCGCGAGGCTATTCGCGCTTCGCGCTTCGGCCCCTCCTCCTCCTCCTCCTCCTCCTCCTCTTCCTCCTCCTCCTCCTCCTCCTCCTCCTCCTCCTCCTCCTCATCATCATCATCAGCATCAGCATCAGCATCAGCATCATCATCATCATCATCATCATCATCATCATCATCATCATCATCATCATCATCATCATCATCATCATCATCATCATCATCATCATCATCATCATCATCATCATCATCATCATCATCATCATCATCATCATCATCATCATCATCATCATCCATCATCCTCCTCCTGCTCCTCCTCATGCTCATGCTCCTCCTCCTCCTCCTCATCCTCCTCCTCCTGCTCCTCCTCCTCCTCTCCCCTGGTGGGCGGCGCGAGCGCGCGAAGTAGGGCGCCCTTGAGGCTCTCGAAGGGGGCCTTGTGTCGAAGCCGACGGGCCCCCCCAGGGGGTCCAGAACCTCGGGGGCGGCAAAGAGGGGGGTGATGACTAGGGGGGGGGAGATATCATGGCGTGGGCCATGATATTTCCCCAGATGTCATGGCGCCTCTTCTTATTTCATTGCGTCCCCGCCCCCCCCCTTGGGCCGCGCACATGCCGCCGGCCATGATTTGCACCCCCCCCTCTGGGACGCCCCCTCTTGGCCGCCCCCGAGAACCGCAGCTCCCCCCCAGTCGTGGCTGGTCTGCAAGGCGGGTGCCGCTGCGGGCGGTCCTGGCGGCGCTGGCGGTGGGCGCCACCGCTGGGCTGTGGGAGGACGCCTGTCTGCCAGGGGAAGCGCCTACGCGCAACAGTGGCCCTTCGCCAGAGTGACCTCTGGTGCCGGCCCACTGGGGTCCTCCGATGGCCGAACGCGGTGCGGTAGTAGCGTCTTGCTCGCTTGAGTTTGGCCCCCCCGCGGCCCCCCAAAAAGCCGCGCACCAAAGGTCACTCTTGCCTAGGGTCACTCTTGCGTGTGGTCGAGCGAAGCGCTCAGGGGCGGATATGGGCTCCTTGGGTAGCAGTTCATGGGAGCCTTGCCCAGACAGGCGCGCGAAACACGACGGAGGCTTCTTGCTAGTTTTCGGCCTCCGGGGGCCCTCGCTGGGCCCCGGGGCCGCCACAAAACGATTCAGGATGAAAGACGGGTCCCGGGGAATGGGTCGAGACCTCTGGGGGTCGACGTACGGTGGGGGGCGTTGATTAAGGAATGTGCCCAGGAGGCTGCAGACCCTGCAGGATTCCTTCTTTGATGAGGCCTGCAGTGATACCCATGGCCAATCCACGATTGGTATCCCACCACGCTTCGGCGCGACACGCTGTGCACGTCCCAGTCTTAGGCCGGGCCTGTCCCTCTACAAGAGGAGTATTCAAAAGTAGTCAAACAATAGTCTGGGGACGATTCGCTGACCACTGTTGACTATTTTCCATATGTATATATATATATATGTATATATATATATAGTGTGTAGAGTTGTTCTTCACTCGCGTTTCGCCAGAGGGTTCTGATGTTCATGGTGATGAAGGGCCACGCAGGAGGCCCACAGGGGGGAAAGGGGAGCACGAGACCGTCCAGCCAGGGAGCCGTCCGGCTGCAGTGTTGCATGTGCGTTTCCCACAGTGCATGCAGGAACCGTACCCATCGGTAGTTGAAAGTAGGTATTTGTGAGATTCCCAGATTCCAATCTACTTTCAGCGCCTCCCTACTTCAAGAGTCGAGTGGTTTTCCCTCTTCCCTCCTCTTCAGGAGGCGGGCGGAAACCCAATATATTTCCAACGCCTTCCCACTTCATGTTTCTACCTACTTCTTCCGACCGGTGGGTACGCTCGCCTCAATGTTCGCTACATGTTTGGTCCAGACGGCCACGATCCCTTGTGGCAGATGCATTACGTTAGGGTGCAGAGGGCCGTGCTCTCCGTTTCCTCCTGCTGCGCACGTTCCTCGCACGAAAGAGCACAGCCTACCACACTTCCGGCTCTTCGTGCTGCAAGAAATCCACCCCCGCGTACGCTTCTGACGCAAACGTGAAAACCCTACCCCACCTCGTACAATAAATTGCGTAAGGACAGATCGGATCCACCGACTCACAGCTTTCGGAACCCCAGCTCGGGCCAAGGACGGCTACCGTGTGCCACTCTGGAGACCCCACCGCCCTCGGAAGGCCTCCGACGTGGCGCGGCCATGGACGCGATTTAGGGTCAGTTTTTAATTGTTCGTCCAAAATCCGCCTGTAGGGGGACATGCCCAACGTAATCACAGTCCCCGAGCGTCAGCGTCTCGAGTTATCCTGGCCTCCCGCCCGCCGCCCGCAGAGCGGAGCGACACGCTATAAGCTCGCACGGTATGGCGTGTCGTCGGGGCCGCCGCTGCGACACGCTGAGCGGAGGTCCCCGACCGTGGGATCAGAGCTGGGAGCACGAGTCTTTCATCGAAGAAAAAGCGGCATACCCATTGGCCGTTGAAATTAGGTGTGTTTGGATCCCCAGATCCCAGTCTACTTCAGGCGCTCTCCTACTCCAAGAGCCAAGCGGCGTTCCTCTTCTCTCCTGTTCAGGGGGGCGGGCGGAAGCCCAAGCAGGGCAGCGTTCGAGGGGGACTGTTTCGGGTTCACGGTTCGAGGTTTGCTGGCGTTGTCATCGGTTCTCGGCGGGTTCCAGGTTCGGGATGCTTTCCAGCAGCTACGGCCCGCCGAGAGCGCAATGAGGTTTCCGAGAGCGAAAAGTTCCCCAAACAGTGTTTGCACGTAGGCTCCTCACTTCTGTTCTGAGGAACGGCCTGACTGCCATTCTGGCGGCTAGGTTGTCGCCGTCGCCGCCTCGTCGCCTCCCGTCGTCTGGGCCTGGGTGGCGGTCTGGCGGCTATGTTGTCGCCGTCGCCGCCTCGTCGCCGCCCGTAGTGTGGCGGTCTTGCAGCTATGCTGTCGCCGTGGCCGCCCCGTCGCTTCGCACTCTATAGGTTGCTGGACATAGATTACACAACCTGTTGTGCACCACATCGATTGCACCGCACAGACCGCACCACACGGGTTGCACAACGTAGACTGCACCGCGTGAATTGCACAATCTGGAGTGCTCCCAATCGCGTGCACAACACACGTTGCACCACATACGTCGCATCACCTAAGCTGCACCGCATACACTGCATCACATATATTGCACACTATAGACTGCACAACAAGTATGGCACCGCATGTGTTGCACCATATGTATTGATTGCGCCACATTTATTGCACACCATAGGTTGCGGCACGTCGACTGCACACACATGTGTTGCGCCACGTACTTGCGCCACTGATGCTGCACTAGATAAAGTGTACAGCATATGTCGTACAGCAAAGATTGTACAGCGTGTATATATATATAGATTGTGCCACATTGAGCGCTTCAGATCGATTGCGCAACGTGTATCTTACCAAAAAAGGCACCACATAGACTGCACCGCATAAGTTGCGCAACATAGATGGTATCACACGGATGGTTCAGCACATATCGAAGCGCAAAAGTTGCACGATATAGATTTCCCTACAAACATTGCACAGCCTACATTGACAGAAGCAGGCTGGTTTGGGCACACGCTGGCCAACATACCGCAGATAGAAACTTTGGGAGGTCAGCGCGGGTGCCATGGCTCTGCGCTGCTCCCCACACGGCGGCGCCTCCGGTGCCGTCCCCTGACGCGCTCCGCCCGCCAAGGTGGGGGGGCTCCAACGCCGATCCAAGAAATCTGCGCCGAGGCGTTTGAGTCAGCTGTTATAGCGCCACCTCCTCTTCCTCCTCCTCCTCTTCCTCCTCCTCCTCTTCCTCCCCCTCCTCTTCCTCCTCCTCCTCCTCCTCCTCCTCCTCCTCCTCCTCCTCCTCCTCCTCCTCTAACTCCTCCTCCATCTCCTCCTCCTCCCCCTCCTCCTCCCCCTCCTACTCCTCCTCATACGTTTGTGCCGGCGCACTATGTGATGCTGAAATGCTACGCTATGCTGTGTTACGCCTTGTGGGGAGAAACGTAACGCAAGTTTCGTATGAGACTTCGTCCCGGGGCTCTTTATCGTCATTACCATTGCTACCGGACATCCCCAGGCCTTTTAAAGCATGTCGGTCATTCATCGGGCATCCCAAACGCATGTTGGATGCCCACCTCTGCGTGCGTATGTTTACGTGGGAAGGGTCCGCCGGCCAATTGCTGGATCCCACCTTGGCACCTGCACAAGTGAAAGCACGTCCCAAGCATTCACGCGCCAGACACATGTTGCGCGCTAGACGCATGTTGGATACCCACTTCCACGTGCGTATCTACACGTGTGAAAAATCCGCCGACCACGTCGGATACCCCCGTTCGCACCTGTAGACATGACAACACATCCCAAATTCATACGCGCCAGACGCATGTTGGACATCTCTCTCCGCCCACGTATTTCTACATGTGGAACTCCGCCGACTGAGCGCCTACATGCGCCAGACGCATTCCGGATACACCCTCCGCGCACACTTTTATACATGTCAAGAAATCGCAGGCCGCATGTTTTCTACCCCTTGCCCATACACGTGTCCCCACCCACGTCCCAAATGCGCATGCGCCAGACGCATATACCCACACTCCTTGGCGCCTACACACGTGAAACACACATCCCAAACGCGCAAGCGCGCCAGACGCATGTCAGAGACCCTTGTTCCGCGCATGAAGTCTTCCGTGCAGAGATTCCGCCGACCACATGTTGGATACCCCATTGGCGCATACACACGTGAAAGCGCCTTCCACATGCACACGCACAAGACGCATGTTCGATCCCTCCTCTGCATACGTACGCTTAATGCGAAGTCCGACGCAATTTGCTCGACACCCCTGAGTCTATTGCAAAAGCCCACCCCCCACTTAAAGAGAATTTTGGGCCAGAAATCTGACCAGGAACCATGTTATCCGTAGACATTGCTTGCAAGAGGCCAGTGTCGATCCACGACGTCATGTTGAGAACGTTTGCGGCGACGCCAGTGGCCGCTGCCCACTGTACCGACGCACATGAAAGAAAATGTCGGAGGTCAACGAGACGATTCGCATAATCAAGGGGGGTGCGAGCTCCTGAAGAGATGGTTCGGTGCTTTGTGCCTCTCACGGGTCTCTCGGGGAGCCTCCAGGGAGGGAGAGTTGTTAGTATCGTGGGTCGTTCCTTGGCCAGCTTTCGAGCGTATTGGCAGTGCCTGGGAGTGGTATGAGGCTGTGCGAGAATGTCTTGAGGACCGTGGGGGATCGTTGCGCGCCCGGAAGCCGTGGAGCGGCCTGAGGGCTTGGGGTGGCAGTCCTGGGGGCCCACAGAGTTGGCAAGGTCTGGCCTGGCACGGGCTTGCTCGTGTGCTCCACAGGGGTGGCGTCGATCCGTCCGTCCTTGGGGGCGGTCTTGGGATACCGCGGGACCCTCGGGGGGGGGGCCTACCTCGCGGCCTGAAGACCGCCTGGGGCGGCCCCCAGAGCGGCTCGGCCGCGGCCTGCTGGAGGCCACCTCGCCGTGCCTTTTGTGGCACATGCCTTCCATCATCCTGCCTCACCCCTTCGTCATCTGATTCTTCCTTCGCGAACTCCTCCAGCACCGACTCCTCGACGTCGTCCTCCTGCCCTTCCCCCGCCTTTCCCTGCTCCCCTCCTCCTCCTACCCCTTCTCGCTCCCACCGCCTGCCCTCCTCGTTCTCCTCCTCAGCCTCCTCCTCCTCCTCCTTCTGCTCCTCTTCCTCCGCCTCCTCCTCCTCCTCCTCCTCCTCCTCCTCCTCCTCCTCCTCCTCCTCCTCCTCCTCCTCCCCCCCTTGTCCCCGGGGGGAGGCATGTGGAGGAGCAGCAGCACAAAGGCAGAGCGCGCGAGAGGCCCTGCGGAGGAGGAGCAGAGGATGGCGCCAGGGCGCGCCCGCACAACAGGTGCTGGGCGGCGCGGTCCTACTTTACAGGGTCTGCGCCGCCGCCGCCGTCTTCGCGCAAGTAGGAGGAGGAGGAGGCGGAGGAGGAGGAGCAGGAAGAGGCGGCGGAGGAGGCGGAGGAGGCGGAGGGAGGAGGAGGAGGAGGAGGAGGAGGGGGGACCAGAACGACGGCGCTTGCAAAGTTGGCGTTGGCGCCGCCGACGGCGCGGCGACGACGGCGGCGGAGCAGCGTCGGCGGCGACGACCTTTCCGCGGAGGAGGTGGCCTTCCGGGGCATCTTCCAGACTGCCTTGACGAGCCTGGGGCTTCCGGCGTGGCAGGCCGTCCATCACTTCCCTCTGCTCGTCTTGCTGCTGCTGGTTCGCCTCCTCGGTCTTCACATCCCTCCTGCTCCTTCTCCCCCCCGTCCTCCTCAACGCCCACGCCTCATCTCAGGCGATCGCAAACATGGATTAAGGGGGCGTGGATTAGCGACGGGTCCCGTTGGCATGGGAGATCGCGGATTGCGCTTGCCGCACTTTGGGGAGAGCACCTCCCCCGATCCGTGGAGTTGGCGACCGCGCGCCAAATCCATGAATCGCTAATCCATGTCTGCGCGCCCCCGATCATTCCCTTCCATCCAGCCCTCCCTCCTCCAGCTGCTCCTCCTTCTCCCGCCCTGCCCTTTGCGCGAGCGGCCCCCGTGCTCACCCTTGCTCTCTGCAGAGCGTGCGCGGGAGGGGGAGGGGGGTCAGGAGGAGCAGCAGCAGCGGCGGCAGCAGCGGAATGGAAGGAGGACAAGGAGGAGGAGGAGGAGGAGGAAGGAGGAGGAGGAAGAGGAGGACTTTGGCGAATAACTCGGCCATAAGGGTGACTGGTCCCTGACATCAGGATGGGTGTCATGACTGCCGCCACTGAAGGTGTACAGGAGAGGAGGGAGGGGAGAGGGAGGGGGGAAGGGAGGGCAAGGGTGAGGAGAAAGGAGGAACACGGAGGAGGCGGAGGAGATGGTGGTGGTGGATTTTGTTTCCCCTTTCTTGTCTTCCCCCAGCGAAGAGGAGGAGGAGGAGGGGAGGGTGAAGGATAGAAGAGAAAATTCAGAACTCCTTGTGAATCAAGGGGGGGGGGCGGATGTGAAAAAACGTGGCGTGACCACCCGCCGGCGCCGTCCCCCAATGTGGTCCGAGTCCGTTCCGCCGGCTGCAGCCCTTCCTGCCGGCGCCGGGGACAAGCCACGGGCAGCCCCCACAGCACTCTGGTGGGGAAGGGGGGTAGGGTTAAGTCGGGCTTGTCCCTCTACAGGTGGAATATTCAGAAATAGTCATCAAACATAGTCTGGGGACTATTTTTGGACCATGTTTGAGTATTGTAGGGCATGTTTTGATTATTTCCCGAACCATCCTGTGGTGTTGGGTCCCAGTTTTGAAGAGACAGCGCCCCGCGTCTCACTCCTCCTCCTCCTCTCCTCACCCCCCTCCTCCCTCCTCCTTCCCCCTCCTCTCTCCTCTCGTCACCCTCAATTTGGCGCACCCCTCACACGCTTCGTGGCCCCATACGGAGCTCCACCTAAGGTCCCAGTGGTGCAGTTCGCATAGCGGCGCCGCCCCATTTTGACACTCCTCTCACACGTTTCGTGGCCCCATACGGAGCTCCACCTGAGGTCCCAGTGGCGCAGTTCGCATGGCGGCGCCGCCCCATTTCGGCACCCCCCTCACACGTTTCGTGGCCCCATACGGAGCTCCACCTAAGGTCCCAGTGGTGCAGTTCGCATAGCGGCGCCGCCTCAGTTTGGCACTCCTCTCACACGTTTCGTGGCCCCATAGGGAGCTCCATCTAAGGTCCCAGTGGCGCAGTTCGCATGGCGGCGCCGCCCCATCTTGGCACTCCTCTCACACGTTTCGTGGCCCCATACGGAGGTTCACCTAAGGGCCCCATGGCGCAGTTTGCATGGCGGCGCCGCCCCCTGTCGTCACACCCCTCCCACGTTTCGTGGGCACATATAGGGAGCTCCACCGAAGGTCCCAGTGGCAAGCTGCGCATAGCGGCGCCGCCTCAGTTTGGCACTCCTCTCACACGTTTTGTGGCCCCATACGGAGCTCCACCTAAGGTCCCAGTGGTGCAGTTCGCATGCTGGCGCCGCCCCATTTCGGCACCCCCCTCACACGTTTCGTGGCCCCATACGGAGCTTCACCGAAGGCGCCAGTGCCACCGCCCGTATGCGTCACCCACACCCATGTCGTCACACCCCTCCCACGTTTCGTGGCCCCACAAGGAGCTCCAACGAAGGCCCCGGTGCCACCGCCCGCATGCGTCACCCACGCACATTCAGGCACACCCCTCACGTGTTTCGTGGCCCCATAGGGACCTCCACCGACGGCGCCGGTGGCTGTGTTCACATGCGCCCACCGCACCCATTTCGGCGCACCCATCACTTTTCGCGGCCCCATAGGGAGCTCCACCGACGGCCCCAGTGGCTGCGTTCGCATGCGCCCACCGCACCTATTTCGGTACACCTCTCACGCGTTTCGTGGCCCCATTAGGAATTCTACCGACGGCCCCAAGGGCTGCTTTCGCATGCTCCCACCGGACAACTTTTGGCACACCCCTCACACGTTTCGTGGCCCTAAAAAGGAGCTCCTCCGAATGCGGAGTACACAACGACAGCACTCACAACTGCATATGGTTGGGTCCATCGCCAGGCTAATTTTTATTTTTCGCCCAAAATTCCCCTGTATGGGGGACAGGCCCGACTTAAGAATAGGGGGGGAATGAAAAGAGTCAGGGTAGGGAGGGTTGGGGCCTGATTCCGATGTGTGAGTCCCAGCGCGA